GGCGCCGGAACGTCCCGTAGGCGGCCGCGGCCATCTCGGCGGAAGCCTTCTGGATCACTGGGAGGCCGGCCTGGTTCCAAGTGATGGTGGAGTCCTCCTGCACCTCCGCGACCTGGACGGCGGGCTGGTCGGGTCTCTCGACCCATACTGCAAAATCTGGGGCCCAGTGGATCCTGGCGGTGTACGTGGCGTCGATTTCGGCCTCAATGAAACTCTGTACCCTCCCAATCGTCGAATTACGCTTGTGGGCCTCAGGCGTGGGTTGGATGCGCACCCGAAGCTGTTTACCCTTCCACCTGTTCCCCTCCACCTTGAGGTGATCCATCCACGTGTTTGAAATCTCTTTCAAGAACTTTGGGGCGATGGGGATGCGAATCGCAAAATTCTTGGCCCTGGTAAGTTCGAACTCCCCAACGTGCTCCTGAAGAGACCCAGGTAATACAGCGATAAGATTGCGTACAACTTCTGCGGATTCCGCCCGGTCGATACCAGCTGTACTTGACTCCCCGAACTCGCAAAAGCCCCGGATTTCGACCCACTGAGGCTTGAAGTCCAGCTTCTGGGACGGGCCGGTCTCGAGCGCCTGGATCCGAGTCACCAATTCGGCGTGTTGCTGTTCGTGCTGATCCAAACGAGCGTTGACAGCTCCGAACCTATTGTTCATCTCGGTGCGGACTCCCTGGATAGCCTGGTCCGTGTGGGAATTGATGTTCGCCTGTAGCTGCGCAGCCCACGGTGGCATCTCGGCGCTGTTGTTCTGGCCGGACATCTGCGCGCCCAGAAAGAAGGGAGAATGTAACAGGGACCAGGAAACTAAGGGGGTACAGGTGCGATTGGGAATTTAAGGGGGTACAGCTCCTTGAGCCCAGGGCTTGAGCCACACGAAACTTGAGCCAAAGACAATGACCCGCGTCTCCTTCCTCCTCCTCCTCCTCCTCCTGCTCCTCCTCCTCCCCCTCCTCTTCCTCCCCCTCCTCCTCGTCCTCCGCCTCTCTCCTTCTCGTCTCTCCTCCTCTACCTCCTGCTTCACAACCTCCTCCATCCTCCCTCTCTCCTCTTCCCTCCGACCTCCGCATGGCTGTTTCGGCACACCCCTCACTCATTTTGTGGTCCCAAAAGGAGTTTCACCTAAGGCCCTAGTGGCAGGGTCCACATGCGGTCTCCCATCCATTTCGACACACCCCTCACACGTTTCGGGGCACACACAGGGAGCTCCACCGACGGTCCACGCCACTTCGGCACACACACACACACACACACACACACACACACACCTCACACGCTTCGATGCCCCATAGGAGCTCCACCGACGGCCCCATTGTTAGGGTCCACGTGCGGTCTCCAATCGATGTCGACACACCCCTCACACGTTTCGTGGTACCCACATGGAGCTCCTCCGAAGGCCCCGACGGGAGGGTGCACATGCAACTCCCCACCCATTCGGCACACACACACACATACATACACACACACACACACACCACACACACGCTTCGATGGCCCGTAGGAGCTGCACCGAAGGCCCTGGTCGTTGGGTCCACGTGCGGTTCCCCGCCCATTTCGGCACACCCCTCGCACGTTGCGTGGCCCCATAGGGAGCTCCACCAACGGCCCCGATGGCAAGGTCCATAGGCAGTTCCACGCATCGTGGCCCCACGGGGAGCTCCACCGCAGGCCCCGACGGGAGAGTCCACATGCGTTTTCCGACCCATTTCAACACACCCCTCGCGCGCTCCGTGGCACCACAGGGAGCTCCACCCGAAGCGGTGCCCACGACGCGGCATTCACGCTTGCACATGACTGGGCCCTGCGCCTCGAAGATTCACTACGGGGCCCCCTGTTCCCGGGCCCTTCCTCCAAGGCCTGCTCGCATCCTGAATAATTCTTGACGGCCGCAGGTCCCGAAGCTGGCCCCCCAGAGGCCGAAAACCCTTCCAAGCCTCCGTTATCAAAGATGCCCAGGAACACACAAATAAACAGACACAAATCCGAGGGTTCTCCACTTGTGTCGATGTTTTCTGGGTGTTCGTCTTCCCCCCCAACTTCCCACAGTTTCCAGTATTTCCTTGGAGTCGATGATTAGTTGTGTCTTTGTTTTTCCCCTCCTGAGTTATGTTGTCTTCCTGGTGTGCGGGATGTGCGGGCGCGTGCAGCCAGGAGGCGGAGCATACTCTCCCCGCGGGCGAGCAGTCCCCCTGGCTCGCTTCTCTCAACGAGGCGCAGGAGGCCGAGCCGTCCCTCCTGCGAGGGGGGCAGCCCGGTGGCGGAGTACCGACCTGGAATCGGCGATACGTCGCCGATAGACCGGCGATGAGCCCCCAGTGGCAACCGCACGGTCCTGGGCGGGGTCGGCTATCGGGCCCCTGTCAGCGACCGATGTGCAATTGGGAGTCGATGCGTCTCCCCCTTAGCCTATCCCCCGCTGTCGTTGCCTTGGAATGTTCGGGTCATAGCTCAGCTCTCCGGCGGGCGTTCGGGACGATCCAGGCACCCCTGGAAGGCCCTCGGCGAGACGCAGATGCTGGAACGCATCCCGAGGCTGGAAAGTCGCCGAGACCGACAAGACTCCTTCGAACCTCGACCCTCAGACCCGAGCGTGGCACATCTGAGGGGGGGAGCCGCCTTTTGCCGCGGCTGGGCAGATCTTCCCCGCGGGCGCTCCGCCCCTCTGGCCACGTACATAGGGGAACGGAGAGTGGCATAAGCATCGCAACTCGAAGGTCCGCGCGGATGTCTCGGATCCGCGCTGGACTCCCCTGGCGGCGCCTCCGGCGCCGCCCCTGGCGTGCTTCGCGCACCAGGGAGGGGGGTCCAGCGCCGATCCGAGAAACCCGCGCGGACCTCCGAATTGCGATGTTTGTGCCACTCTTTGCTCCCCTAAGGTATATCCCAACGAGGCGCAGAGGGCCGAAGCGGCCTCGCGCGGCAGTGCCGCGCCCGCGAGCCCCGCGCTTCGGCATGTTCGGGCTCGCCGCTCTGGGCGCGGCGCCGCGGCGGTGCTGTGTACAAGGCGGCGTGGCCGCGGGGCCCTGCAGAGGGCAGGACGGCGCCAGCTTCGGGGGCTGCGGGAGGGGTCCCCTCAGGGGAACGAGGCATGGCATAGACATAAAAACTCGGAGGTCCGCGCGGATTTCTCGGATCCGCGCTGGACCCCCCTGGCGGCGCCTCCGGCGCCGCCCCTGCCGCGCTCCGCGCGCCAGGGAGGAGGTCCAGCGCCGATCCGAGAAACCCGCCCAGAACTCCGAGTTTCTATGTTTATGTCATTTTTCGATACCCTATCCCTGGCCCAAGGTCCCAAGGTGCCCCCGGCTTCTCGCTCCGCTCTGGAGCCCCCAGGACCCCCTGGGCCTCGTGAGGGCCACCCTGGATATCCTGGGGGGCGGGGCACCCTCAAGGTGCCCCAATGAAATTCAAGGAGGCCCTGGTCCCTGTTTCCGGGAGGAGGCCCTGTTTCCAGAAGTGTCCTTGAAAGCCTCCTGGTCCAAGGAAACGGTGCCTCCTTGGACAAGGGCCTCCTGGACAAGGAGGATCTGGCCCAAGGAGGCCCTGTCTCCAGAAGTGCCCCTGGCACAAGTTGGACCTGGGACACTCTTGGAAACCTCGAGCTGTACGCCTGCACCGCTCCTGCCAAGGCCCGTCTCCGCCAAGGCCACGCTAACGGCGATGTTGGCTAACGGCGAGGTTGGGAATGTGGCTCTTGCGACGCCGAACTCGCGCAGAACAGAGTGCAGGCAAATACGAACCAGCCTCTTCTACAACTGGGCTAGCCACGACCACCCCCCCACCTACAATACCGAAACCCGCATCGCCGTTCCGTAGCTGTCCCGGTACGCAACGCGCAACCCGCAGCGCGTTGACGCGGAGCTCAACGCGTGGACTGAACACGCAGGCCTGGCGCGATGCGCCCGCCAAAACGTGGGCCAATACGGCGAGCCGACGCGCAGCGTGCCCACACGGACGCCTTGAGCACGGCACCTGCTGCGTTTCGAGATGGGCGCATCAGGGCAGCCGAGCTATGGCGGAACGAAACATGGCACAAACGTATCAGCTCGGAGGCCCGAGCGGACTTCTCGGGTCCGCGCTGGACCCCCCCTCCCCAGGGTGCCCCCGGCTTCTCGCCCCGCTCCGGAGCCCCCGCGGCCCCCTGGGCCTCGTGAGGGCCTCCCCGGAGATCTCCCGGGGGGCGGGGCACCCTCCAGGTGCCCCAGGAAGCGCCGTCGCCCGCGTCGCCGTTCGTGTGTCTGCGGCCTCTCGGGCCAGAACCGCCGTTTGCACCACGGGGCACACGCCCTGCCGGCTTGGCGCCAGGGAGGCCCAGGACTGGCCTCGCCGGGAAGCGGGAGATCGGCGCAGGTGCAGGATCGCTTCGGCCACACGGGCCCAGGGACACACACATAGAGATGCACAAATCGTAAGTCGGGCCTGTCCCTCTACAGGAGGGATATTCAAAAATAGGCCAAAAATAGTCGGGGGACGATTCTTTCCATTTTGGCATATTTTTTCACCATTTGCTGTCTTCCGTCCAAAATCCACATGTAGGAAAACATGCCCGACCTAACACAAATCCCCAAATGCCCCATCTTGTTCCACATTTCACCTGGAGTTCCGTCTTCCCCCCCCCCCCCCCACACTTCACACTCGTCGCCCTGGGAATCGATGATTCTTTACGCCCGTGTGCTCTTTCCCCCTCCCGGCTCACGCAAGAGTGGCCCCAGGCCCTCGGCCCTCGGGGGCCGCGGGAAGGCGAAATCTCGGCGCGCAGATCAGTGCGGGGGGGGCCCCACGAGGGCGCCCACTGCTCCGCTGGCTTCTCCTGCTCTCCGGGTGGCTCGGCTGCATCCGACTCGCCCTCATACTCCTGCTCCGCCTCCTCCTCGGAACCCTCGCCTTCGGGTTCCCTCTCCTCGTGTGCCTCCGCCTCGCCCTCCTCCTCCTCCTCCTCCTCCTCCTCTTCCTCCTACTCGGATCCACCCCCTCGGAGTCCTCCTCCTCGGATACTTCGCGTCACACACAGGCCACTCCGGCAAAGGGCCACCCTCTCTCGCGTAGCCGAGTAGCTGGCGCCCTCCCAGAAGGAGAACCGGGCCGGGCGCGCCAGGGAGCCGGGGGCCGTGAACGACCACGAGCCCCAGGCGAGAAAAGAGATATATAATATTGTGTTCAGCTCGGGCACCCGGGCGTCGCGCGAAGGCAGTCGCACGGCGCCGTGGACAGATCACAGCTGGAGCCTCCTGGCCTGTGCGGGAGTTCCTCGAGCCGCCTCGGTCCACGAGGATCCCGGGGCTCGAAGCGCCTCCCCCCCCAACAAAAAAAACGTGAGGGTTTCGCGGCGCCCGAATGTCGATGGTGTTAGGTCGGGCATGTCCTCCTACAGGCGGATTTTAAAAGAAGCATTCAACACTGTCAAGACATATTCAAGCATAGTCAACAGAGCACGAAAAATCGTCACCATACCATTTTCTAGTTTTCTTGAAGATTCCCCCTGTCAAGGGACATGCCCGACTTAACGATGGTGCTCGGAGCGCGCGTCAGCCATTCCATGCGACGCAGGCAACGTAACGAGGGCCGACACGGGCTGCGTGCGGTCGGCGGAGCTGGACGGGGCAAATGCACACTTGGCTACGGAGCTCGACCACAAGAACCCTTCCGCAAGAAACCCAACCCTGAGACCCCAGAATGTACATTGATGTTTGGTATGGGAACGTCACGTACTCCATATCAGAACCATCGAAGCCCAGGGCACCATGGAGGCAAGCAGGGTGTTTCTTGGCATGGGCTTCCACTGTAACACAGGTCCTGGGGAACATCAAGAACGTCTTGGGAGGACCAGGCGCGAACCCCGCGGTGATCTGACCTCAGCCTCAGCCTGCTTTGCCCCGCAGGAACAAATATTTCTATTCGTGGCCATGACGGGCGTTATGGGGGGGAGGGGGGGGAGGAGACGGGAGGGGCATAAAGCAGCGCCACTCCCCCCCCCCAGACTGCGTTTTTGGACGCACTGCGGCAGCGCCATGCTGAGGGGGGGAGCGTCAAGTGAAGGGGGGGAGGGGATGGGAGGAAAGGGGGCATAACGCGCGTTATGGCCCAGAGCGTGAACAGAAACACTCTCTAGAGTCGCCGCCGAGGTCGCTGGCGCACCCTCTGACGAGGCAATGGGCGACCCCGTCACGCGAACAGCAGCCCCTGCACCAGCTCGGCCAGCGGCTGGTCCGTGCAGAAGCCCGAGTGGGCGCAGCGGACGCAACCCTGGATGCCCGAGCAGTCCGAGTCGCTCCCGCACTTTGGGCCCTTCCTCCGGGGGTTGCCAAGAGTGTCCCTGGCTCCACAGACCGCTGAAATCATGGTTTTTCATAACGCCGCCCATCACAGGTCTCGACCGATGCTGGGACTGGGTTTCATCATAAATCGATAATAACGGTCAAGGGCGCGTGGAGGCCGAAAATAAGGCATCACATCCCGTCGTGATTTTTTCATGACTCGAAGGGGTCTTGCTCAGAGAATCCCCCCGTGGCCGCCGAAGGCCCCAAATCGGTGTGAAGAACTGGGGGCACCTTGGGCCGGGGACATATTGGGTGGTTCCAGGCCACAATTCTGTCTCCGCGGCGACCGTCCAGGACGATGCGGGCACCCCCCGAACGCTCCCGGCGATTCGCAGCTGCTGGAAAGCACCCCCAGGATGGGAAATCTTAAGTGGAAGCGACGGAAGCGGCTGAAGACTTCAATACAAGGCCGGTCCGTCGTCGACGCCACCACCGTCGTCGCTTGACAGTGGACGCCCGGAATGGGTACGAAACAAATTGCACGATGCCCAACAACACGTGTTGTCGAAAACCGGCAGCCTCCGCTGTTGGTCAGGCGGCCTTCTGTCTCAAATGGACAACGTCCGCCACAGCAACGGCAAAGAGTCTGGTTCAAAATGAGCTGGAACTGCTGCCAGTCTTCGTACCCATGTTCCCAACAATTGCCCATTTCATTCGTGCCGATTGGCGACTTGCGTATGGGGGAAACGGGTCCTGCCTGCTTCCCTCACCTTGGGATCCGAAATCGCGATAAAAATAGACAGCGTGAAAATGGCGACTGGAACCCTAGAGCCAGTCTTCTTGCCCCATGTCTCGAGCCGGATCGATCTGTGACGGTTCCAGGGCCTGAGCGCAATGGGGGAAAACGCCCAGCACAAAACAATTGGGACGCCAGGATCTCCTGAGCAAGACCCGCTTCCCCCCTGGCGCCGACCCCTGCCCAGGCCCAGACCCCCGAAGTCGTGATTTTTGTCACGGCGTCGACACCCGAAGGTCTGGACCTCCTCCCCAGGACTGGCTTTTCATCCTGACTTGCTTTTTACAGTCTGGGGCCCAGTCAGGTCCCTCAGGGGCAGAAAATCAAAAAACAAAAAAAAAAAAAAAAAAAACCTCCGTCGTGTTTTTTGTTTGCTGCAGCGCGAGGGGCTCCGGCTCCTCCCCTTCGCGCACGCCTCCGCTGGCGCCGGAGGCGCAGGGCCAGGCGGCGACGGCCCGGGGGCAGGCGGTGCGCCTCCGCCGCACACCTCCTGGGGCGTGGAGCCGTCCGCGCGGCGCTCCAGCTCCCCTCGCTACTGCAATCGCTCGGGCGCCCTTCCTCGTCCTCGTCCGCGTCCTCCTCCTCCTCCTCCTCCTCGTCCTCCTCCTCCTCCTCCTCGTCCTCCTCCCCTTTTTTCCTCACGCAAGGCGGGCCACGGCGGTCTCTCCGCGGAGCCCGCGCCGCTCCGAACAGCCTCGGAATGGGGAGGGCCTCAGAAGAAAAAAACCTCAGGACCACAAGGGAGAGAAGGGACGGCGGGGGCCGCATTTGCTGCAGGGGCGCGACAGCGCGGGGCCTGTTGGGACCGCCGCCCGGAACCGAGGTCAGTTAGCCCTTTAGCCCCTCAACCACCACCACCATAAGGGATGACGACCTCTAACACGCAATTGCGAGACCGGGGTGATGGTAGGAGGGTCAAAGCTCACATGCACATGCGAGACCCCCCACCAAGGCAGGAAAGGAGCCGAGTAGTCACGGCCCCCAATCGCCACCCTGGAGAGAAAGAGCGCGAGGGGGGCCACGAACCGAAACGAGGACCGAAGAGGCAGGCGCGCCCCAAAGGCACCGCAAGAGCAAAAAGGAGGGGCCTCCTAGGCACAAGAGAAGGAAGAGGAAATGCAGGGCCCAGATCGGATCTCCAGGGTCTTGAGGGCGACGGCGCCCCGCAGCCGCGGGGCCTGGTATTGCAAGCAAATGTTGGCCTCGCCCTCTTAGAGCTGTCCGACAGGGGCGTCCCCGCTGGTGGCGCAGTTGTACCAAAGGTTCGCCTCCGAATCGGCGTGGGCGCCGTCGTTGACGTTCTTCTCGGGCCCATGTTACGGGCGGGTGAGGATGTCTCTGTAGTTCTGCTGGTTGCGTCGGTGCTGCCGCGAGCGTGGTCTCGATGCGCAGCACATCCGCGTCGCTGTGGCCGTGCGTCTCCACGTCGTTGCCCCCGGGTGGACTCCATGACTCACTTGCCCGCCTCGTTGTAGTCGTGATAGTGCCGATGCTTCTATCGCTCGAAGCCGCCTCCTCCGTCCCTGGTCCTCAAGATGACTGTGTCTATTTTGTTGTCGTCGCTGTCGCTGCCAGCGATGCCAGTAAGAGTCTCGTCGGTGTTGGCAACCACTGTCTCATGTCGTATGGCCTCGTACTCTTCAGTCTTGAGGTGCCTCGCCGTGTGGTCAGGGATGATGCAAGGAGTCAATCTGGCCATGCTTGTATAGACGATCGCTATTGCTCGTCGCAGAGCTTTAGTCGCTGCCCGTACCCGTTGGCTCATTGATTTCTTGATACACATGTGCCCCCAATGCGATTTGGACGCCCGAAATGGATACGGAAAGAATTGGTACACTGCCAAAACACAAATGTTGTCCCAAACCAACAGCGGCCGCTGTTGGGCAGGCGGCCTCCTGTCTCGAATGAACACAGGCCGCGGCGGCGTGGATAGCGAGTCCTGTTCAAAACGAACCAGATCCACTGTTGGGCATTGAACCCATTCTTTCCGTGCCCATGTCGTTCGTGCGTATGCGAGGAGCTGCTGCGCATCTTTCCATCATGGTTAACTGCATCAATACTGATGTCAATAAAACCAAGGGGGGAATTCCTTTTGTCGCGGCCATGCCCGAGCATGTCTTGGATGTTGTTGTCATCGTGCTCGTAGAGGGAGCGCATCTTGGCGTCCATGCTTCCCCCGCCCAGTCAGCGGCCTGTCGGGTCGTTCTGGCCGGCGTCGGCGACGCAGCGGCCATTGTCAGACATGATGAGTATCACATTGGAGACCTTTGCGCTATCGCCGTCGCTCGTGTCCATCAGATTCTCGGCCTCTGCGCCTGTCTCCTGGATCTGCGCGGGTGCCTCGGCTGGCATCGGAGCCGCCATCGGTACCGACGATATTCGGACCTATCGGTGGCCCTTGGAGCTGCGCGCATGGGATCTTCGGCGTAGTCCACGGGCAATCAGTCGCGCTTGCCGGTGCGCCGCAATCTCTCGACGCCCGCCTGGTAGATTCCAACTTCGTCGTTGGCGGGGCATCTCCGCGCGTAATCCAGGATGCCGCGCGCGCCCGCGAGGTTTTCACGCGCTCGCGAACCGTTTCGGCGCGCTGGATTTTCGGCGAACCTCGCGCGCAGTCCCAATGGCGACGTTGGCGACGTGAACCGCCAGCTAGCGGCGGCTGCTGACGCGCTTGGCGCACGCCGCTTCTCTGCCGAACTTCGCCCCGCACTGGTGGCGCATGATGTAAGTCTGGCTACTGGCCGCTTTGCTGGTCGTGGTGTACGTGCTTATCCGGAGTGCAACTGTCGCGCATGTCGCTAACGTGTCCGTTCTCCACCTCGCGCGTCGCGCCTCGTCGTCGGTCCACGCCATCGCTCTCCGCGTTGCTGCTGTCGCGATGCTCTTGGTAGATCGTAGGCCATCGCGCGCAACAGTGAACCGCCCGACGACGTCCTTGATATTTGTGGTCGCGCGTCGCAGCTCGATATTCTCGGCTACCTTGTGACTGTCGTCTTTGGTCGCCGCGGCCCGGCCCCCCGAATTGGCGATGTCGTCGTTGACCAGCGCCCGAAGCTTCCGGGGGGCGCGAAGTGCTGCGGCGCGCGAGTCGGCGCGGCCGACTTGCCATCCTCGCGACTCGACCAGCGGAGGCTTGGCCTTCGCGAGGACCTCGCGGTTGGCGATTGCCCCCGCTTTCGTCTCGGCGTGGGCGATGCCGATGGCCCGTCGCGCTGATGATGCGTGCGCCGAGTTAACTCTGCTGCATCTGAGTGCTTGGCAAGTATCCATGCCCCAGCAGCATCGATAAACACATCGCGATAAAATGAAGCCTCCAGGTAGTGAGCTCTCCGCTTGTGGAGACGGCCTGTCTCCGGAAAGAAGTTCTCCTCGTCGTGCCCGTGGCTTCTTTCATGGGGACCGTCAGCGATGACATCTCCTGGCGCATGCCGTTTCTGTCTTCGAACATTGCCCCCGCCAGCTCGGTTGACCTGGCGATCGTTGCCTGCGGGCCCATGTCCGCAACGCGATTCTCATCGACGGCCATGTCTCATGCAGACCGCTTTCGCTGAGGGGTGCTCTCGAAAGAGATGAAGCTCGATGTGCTGGCATTGATCAGGCGTCTGCGCGCGAAAGTCGCTCTGATGAGGCGGCCCCCCATGGTCTGGGCGGTCTCAGCAATCTTTCGCCCGCGTCGGTCGTCGCTGGAGCCTCTGCTTCGCCGGCGCAGGACGTCGATGCGAGCCCTGCTGGGGCATGCGCGGCGAATGAGGAACGGGCGCGACCGCGCGATCCTGCGATGCCTTATGGTGGTGCTCCTTCGTAGCCTCTGACATAAGGGCGTTGAACGTGAAATCCGCTGCCAGTACTCCTGGTCGCGACCTTAACCTTGGCGCTGTAAATGCGGCCTCCGTGCTCGCGTAGATACGCGTGCCCCTGTGCGTTTCCGCGAGCGCGGCGACGGCGTGCTCGTTGTCCACGCGCTGGTTGACGATGGCGCGGCTGCCTGTAAGCTCGCGAATCGCTGACTGCGTGATCTTGGGGATCTCGATGTGCTCTAACAAATATTCGCCCCCGTCCGCGCCGTGCTGAGCGTTGTAGACTCGGGCGTTGATGACCTTGTGGGACGCCGCCTTGAGGTCCGTCATGCGGAGCACGAAGTATAGTGTGCTCCTCTTCGCCATGTCGAAGAGAAGCCTGATAGTGCGTTGGTTGGGATCATTGCTGTAGCGCTGCCTCCCTCGCGTCTGAACGCTGAAGAATATACGGGGCATCAGGTCCTGCATGCGCTGTCTGATGTATCTGTCGTGGTGTTTGAGGACTGCGTTGGCCAGGGTTCTCTTCGCTCCCCATGCCTTTCCAAAAGTAGGTCACGCGCGATATCTTACGGGCTACTACTCCTCGGCACCATATAGGGCAGCCTTGGTCATGATCGGGCGCATGTGCCCGCGCATTTCCTTCGGGGCGAGCTTCGCGAGGTCGTCCGTTATGTTGCATGGGCCTGGGGCCCTGTAGTTGGCGGCTTTGGTTAATATGCCGGTCAGCTCTAGATGCTCGCGAAAATGTGGATGTCCCTCTCCATCTCGGTGCCGGTTAACTCTTCTTCGCGGCTGTACTTTTCGATGATCTGCTCACGTGGCTAGAACCTCGCAGCTTCGTTGATGCCGAAGTGCATGGTAGCGTCGTCTCCCTTTCGGCGACGTTGTCGCATGTGGTTCACCGTTTCCCTTGGTCACCACAGGGTAGGCTCATACCTTTCGTCGGTTCCGGCCTTCAAAAGCAGCTTCTTGGTGTATTTCGACTCGTCGTGGTGTTGGTGGGCTTCTCTAGCTTCTTGTGCTCGCGGCGCTTGCTGCTCCAGGAAAATGTCGTAGTCGTGGTCGACCATGGTGCTGAGCATGCGTGTGAAATGGGTCCACGTCTTGACGGGATCGACGAACAGCTTGGTTGCGCCTGCTTGTAACCCTGCGACAAGTCATGTCGAAGGTCCCTCTATAGACGTTAAGCAAAGCGTGCAAGTGGCATGCTCTTCGTCGGGTTGTCGATCGGTTATTTCGCCTGTATGCATGTCCTTCTGCTTGCCGCCGGCTGGTGCTGACCTGTGCGTTTGCCTTTTTTACGATCATCTTCGTTAGCCGTCAAACATCGAGGACAAAGTTCAGCGTGTCATCCGACATGTACCTCCTGTATCGCTGTCTAGCCTGCTTTGGGAACGCCGCTTGCGCTACCTCCATGAAAGTGAGCATGTAATAGTGGGTGTGCTCGTCGTAGCTCCAGGCCCAGTTCGGAAACATCGTGGAATTGATCGCGTCCCTGAATTTATTGGCTGATTGTTGGTCCGATAGTGCGTCGCGGTCTATCTTCGGGGTCTTCCTCCTCCTCCTCCTCCTCCTCCTCCTCCTCCTCCTCCTCCTCATGTGTTTCCTCCTCCTCCCTCTCCTCCTCCTCCTCATCCTCCTCCTCCTCCTCCTCCTCCTCCTCCTGCCACCGCTCGGAAGTCCCGTGTGACCGTGTTTTAATTCGGCATCTCGAAGTTGGGCGGAAGGGTGGAGGAGCGGGGGAGTCGGCACCAGACCTCTGCTTCAATACGACTGCTTGCAACAGCGCGCCCCACGGGGGGGACTCCACCAGCTCGAGACAGGCGCTAAAAACAACCAAGATCTACTCCATGGGCGGGGGGAAGAGAGGGCGCGAGGGCCCGCAACGATCGGCAAAACAATGAATGAGAAAACGATCACCTTGTCATCGCTCGAACGGAACTTCCCCGTGCGTGTTTCAGTGTCGTACGTGTTGTTTTTTGCTCCATGGTCTCGGATGCTCCTCGAGGGTTCTCGCCGAGAAATCCCTCGCTTGCCATCGCTCGGACGTCCCTTCACCGTGCACGTTTCGGTGTCGTGTGTGTTGCTTTTTGCTCGATGATCCAGGCTGTTTCTCGAGGGTCCTCGCCGAGGGAAAAAGCACACGTCCGAGCGGTACCAAGCTCACAGGCTACCCGCAGAGAGTGGTCCTGGGTAGGAGTGAGCTCTGGTGCGCGGCGTTGGGGGGTCGCGTGGGGGAGAAAAGACACGCAGTCCAGGCGCGCCAAGCAAAATGCTGGCGGGACCCCTCTGGGCCCGCAGCAGAAGTCACTCTGGCGAAAGGTCAACCTTACGCGTAGCCGACTCGGGTAGACGAAGCCAAGACCCAGACCCTCGGCCTCGTCATTTTTTCACAGCGACGACCCCCAGAGGTCTGGACCCCTTCCCCAAGACCGCTATTTCATCCTTGACGGTCCGGGGGCCTGGTAAGGGCCCCGGGAGGCCGAAATTAGTGAAAAACCTCCCGTCGTGAATTTTTCGCAGCGCGAGGGGGTCTGGGGACCAGGACAAGTCGACCCGGGATAGATCGGGGATCTCCGAGATCCAACGGTCCTGGAGGCCTTCCGCCAGCTATTCGGTCCCCTGGCGCCCTCCACGGGGCCCCCAGGGCCGCCAGAGGAAACGACTCGGGAAACACCTAAGCAATACGAAGCCAGGAGGGCAGCGATATCGGCTGGGGGGGGAAATGGGGGAGCTCTGAAGTCCAGCGGTTCTGGGGGATTCATGCGGGCCGCGCGGAAATTCCCCTGCGCGCTACGGAAGGCTCTGCGAACGTTCCAGAACGCTCTGGAACGATACATCCTGGTCCTAGGCCCGACCGACTCCTCCCTCTCCTCCTCCTCCTCCTCCTCCTCCTCCTCCTCCTCCTCCTCCTCCTCCTCCTCCTCTCCTCCTCATCTGCCTCTTCCTCCTGCTCCTCCTCCTCCTCCTCCTCCCTCCTCCTCCTCTCCTCCTCCTGTCGCTGTCGCTGCTGGCATGAAGGGCGATGTCGACTTTACCGCCCTTCGTCCTTCTCCTCCTCCTCTTCCTCCTCTTGATCCTCCTCGTCCTCCTCCACCTCCTCCTCCTACTCCTCCTCCTCGACACCACGAACGCCTAAACGAGGAACGAGGCCGCGTTTTGGCACCCGAAGCGCCTGGGTACATGAGGAGCGCTGGCAGGAGCAACTGGGGGGCACCGAGGCCCTTTCGAACCCGAGCTGTTCCTTCACACAGCGTCTGGGCTGTGCTTCTGTTCATATTCCGCCCTTCGTCCTCCCGCTCCCCCTCCACCTCCTCCTCCTCCTCCTCTCCCTCCTCCTCCTCCTCCTCCTCCTGTTCCTCCTTCTCCTTTTCCTCCTCCTGCTCCTCCTTCTCCTCCTCTACCTCCTCGTCCGCCTCCTCCTCCTACTCCTTTTCCTCCTCCTCCTCCTCGACACGACGAACGCCTGAACAAGGAACGAGGCCGCTTTTTGACACCCTTACTGCCTTCTGTGTCGGCGATTAAAGTCGCCCCGCGGGGTCTTTGCAAGTTGGCGGCGACGACTGAAACAGCGCCCCTCCCCTGTCCCAACGAGGGGCGTGCACTGATGGGGAGGCTCGGGGCCGTGTCTTCAACGGGTGGTGCCATTGCTGAGGTAGTTGAGGGTTGTCTCGGGTGCACGTCCAGTCCTCATACCCCACCTCGACGCCAAATGGTTTTCCGGCCATAACTCTGGCCTCTGGCGGTCGCTCGGGACGATCCGGGCACCCCGGAAAGCTCTCGATGAGGCGCGGCTGCCTCCGAGAACCAGCGAACATATACTTCAAGCACCAACGAAACAACGTCCTCCGCCCCCTCCACCACGGCCCCTCCCCCCACATACACACAGACACACACACACACACACATAAACACAGACACAGACACAGGCACAGACACAAACACACACACACACACACATCACGCACACAGAACCATATATACCTATACGACCACCCTTCGGGTGATAAGGAGGTTCGGGGGGGGGAGGAACCAACGTCTCACTCGATCGGTCTCACTATCGATCTCACTATCGATCTCAGTATCGGTCTCGCTCGATCGATCTCCCTCGATCGATCTCACAATCGATCTCACTCGATCTCACTCGATCTCACTCGATCTATCTCACACTCGATCTCACTCGATCATCATCATCATCATCATCATCATCATCATCATCATCATCATCATCATCATCGTCCTCATCATCATCATCATCAGCATCACCATCATCATCATCATCATCATCATCAGCATCAACATCAGCATCAGCATCATCATCAGCATCATCATCAGCATCACATCATCATCATCATCATCAGCAGCATCATCATCATCCATCATCATCATCAACATCATCATCATCATCATCATCATCATCATCATCATCATCATCATCATCGCATCATCATCATCATCATCATCATCATCATCATCATCATCATCATCATCATCATCATCATCATCATCATCATCGCATCATCATCATCATCATCATCATCATCATCATCATCATCATCATCATCATCATCATCATCATCATCATCATCGCGGGACACCGCGGGACACCGCGGGACACCGCGGGGCACCGCGAGACACCGCGGGACACCGCGGGACACCGGCGGGACACCGCGGGCCACCGGCCGCCCGGAAGGGAGACATTTGGTCCGGCCGCGACTCAGCCACACGGGACACCAGCGGGACACCGGCGGGACACCGCGGGCCACCGGCCGCCCGGAAGGGAGACATTTGGTCCAGCCGCGCCTCAGCCACAGGAGACTTTCTTCTCGCCCGCCCACGCAGCTTCGCCTCGCCCGCACGCACGGCACGCACGAACACGAAACCGAAATCGGTTTCCCGGTAGGGGGGCTCTCCGTTCCACTTCGATCTCACCCCCTCACCTCCGATATACACACACGTCCTCCGCCCCCTCCACCACGGCCCCTCCCCCCACATACACACAGACACACATAAACACAGACACAGACACAGGCACAGACACACACACACACACCACGCACACAGAAACATATATATATATATATATACTAGAACCACGCGCGCGCTTCGCGCGCGCTTAGGTTCTGTCGAGTCACAGACCCAGGAATCGTTGTGAGAAGAAATTGGTGACGCGAAGCGTCGTGGGGGCGTCCTTGGACGTCTGGGGTCTCCTGGGGCCTCTTGAGGGGCCTCCTGGGGGCCTCCTGGCGGCCTCTTGGGGCGGAAGGCTCGAGCTTGCGGTTCGTGGTCCCCCTCTGGGCCCCCTCTTGGGCCCGTCTTGGGGCCCTCTTGGGCCATCTTGGGCGCCTCTTGGGCCGTCTTGGGGCCCTCTTGGGCTGTCCTGGGGCCCTCTTGGAAGCTTATTGGGCCGTCTTGGGGCGGTCTTGGGCGTCTCTTGGGCCGTCCTGTAACGTCGGAAAGCCCAAAAGGCGACTTTGTTGAAAATGTACGTTTTACGAAGGGAATGGGCCAATTTTTGCGTCTAGGGGCCCTCTTGGGACGCATGTTGGAGGCTTCTTGGGGCGTCTTGGGGGCGTCCTTGGACGTCTGGGGTCTCCTGGGGCCTCTTGAGGGGCCTCCTGGGGGCCTCCTGGCGGCCTCTTGGGGCGGAAGGCTCGAGCTTGCGGTTCGTGGTCCCCCTCTGGGCCCCCTCTTGGGCCCGTCTTGGGGCCCTCTTGGGCCATCTTGGGCGCCTCTTGGGCCGTCTTGGGGCCCTCTTGGGCTGTCCTGGGGCCCTCTTGGAAGCTTCTTGGGCCGTCTTGGGGCGGTCTTGGGCGCCTCTTGGGCCGTCCTGTAACGTCGGAAAGCCCAAAAGAGAACTTTGTTGAACATGTACGTTTTACGAGGGAATGGGCCAATTTTTGCGTCTAGGGGCCCTCTTGGGACGCATGTTGGAGGCTTCTTGGGGCCTCTCGGGGGCGTCCTTGGACGTCTGGAGGCCATCTTCAGCATCTCGGAGCCCTCTTGGAGGCCTCTTGGAAGTTTCTTGGGCCGTCTTGGGCGTTCCTGGGGCCGTCTTGTCTGACCGGGGAGGCCTCCGGCAAGCCCCGACGAGCCTCCAGAGCCCCCGGTCCCCACATTTGCGGTCGTGGTCCCGGCCCCGGGCCCCCAGACCAGGTGCGCCGTTATATGTATATACACCCACGCACACACATACACACACTCACACTTTTCATCCGCCCCGAGAGGGGGGGGGGCGCGGTCCTGGAACTTGGAGGCGTCAGCGAGCTTCCAGCGGCCGTCCTTGCGGCGTCGGGGCGTGCGGGCGGCCGCGGCGAGGCGTCTCGAGTGCGGTGCTCCGCCGCAAGCCATCCCCAAGGGGAGAGGAGGGGGAGGGACGAGAAGGGAGGGGGAGAAAGAATGCGGAGGATGAGATAAAAGAAGAGGAGGCGGAAAGGCGGGAGGAAGGAGGAAAGAACGGAAGAAGGGCGGGAGGAAAGAGGAAGAGGAAAAAGGGGAGGACGAGGAGAGAGAGGAGGAGGAGAAGGAAGAGGAGGAGGAGAAGGAAGAGAGGAGGAGAGAAGGACGATGAAAGAAGAAAGAGAAGAAAGAGAAGAAAGAGAAGGACGATGAGGCGTCAAGGATGGGGAGTGTCATTTTCGATCTTGGGGGACCTAGGGCCTAGAGCCAGGGATGAGGAAGTGGATGAGGAGGATGAGGAGGAGGAAGAACATGGGGATGCAGCGGAGGAGGGCGTGGACGCGCAGAGGAGGGTCAAGGAGGTAGAGGAGAAGAAGGAGGAGTGCGAACAAGAGAGCTGCATATATTGAGAAGGAGACTCTTGGATGTCAAGTCCTGCGCTGCGCATGCAGACAAGAAAATCTGGTCATTCTCGCGGTCCACATCGAAGATGGGATGGCCCGCGCGACCCAGGGCCCCCACCATGTCTTCGAACGCTGTCGCCTTACAGAGGGCAGAGAAGAGCCACCCTCACCACAAGCACCCGAAAGACCGAAGCCCTTTAGGAAGCGCACCCGAGGAAGACATCGGACAGGGCAGAACTGTGCTGTAAGCGCCCAGGACTGCTCAGCAAACGCAGGTGATGCAGTCAGGGTGGTCTTTCCCCCACATTGCCTTGCCCATCGCAGCCAGCGGGGCCGCAGACAAGTCGCAGATCTGGTGGAAGAAATCATCGACGCCATCAACGCCAGCGCAGCGCCCGTGCTTCTCCCACTCGTGGTTCTCGAACCACAGGAGCTGGCTCTCCGACTGGTTCGCCTGCTGATTCTTATGGGGGAGAGGAAGAATATGGACCGCGACCACACAGCTTCACACTGCCTGGCCTCAACCGCTGTTCGACTCACAATGTCGCCAGGCAACCATGGATCCCAGCACGAGCCGCCCTGCGATAGGCAAGCACATGCAGTGAACCGTGGCCTGAACGAAAGATTGAAATGAGCGTGCCGCATCCAAATGTCCCACGAAGCCCACATGGCAAACGATATTTCCTGCGAAAGCAGAAAGCGAGACGGGTCGTCGTGCTGGTTGCAAAATCGGTCCACGGACGGGGTCCGTCTGCAATGTTCGACCCCGGCGCCGTTCGTGGCCCGAGACTGGCCCCCCGAGATCGAAAAAAGCAGAACACTTTCTCGAACCCGCAACCTCTGGCCTCTTCCCCCCTTCCTGCTCGCCAGGACCAATGCCAGGCCACCTCAGACCCCCAGCCGACGCCCATTCTGGGGTAACCAAAAAAAGTACCGATATCGCTACTCCCCGGACCTCTCCCGGGGTGAGTTCTGACCAGGGCTTCGAGGCGAATCCAGCGGTGGCGACGAGGGCCCCCCTGGAGGCCTAAAAAGGGGAAAGAAAACGGCCGAAGGGTAGCGGCATGGGTACCTCATCCTCCTCTGAAGCCATCCTGCTGGTAGCAGGTGTAGACGCCAGTGGCGTCTGCGCTGCTCTTGGGCGCTATGCACTGCGAGCTGCCGTACTCGCCCACCGCCGGCCACAGGCCGTGCACGCCGCAGCCCGCGTGGTGGTAGGCGCCCGGGCCGAGGCCGCTCTCCAGCGCGAGGCTCCCGCAGAGAGGCACGCCTTCGCCACAGTCCATCTTCTTGGCCCTCGCCGCGGGCGCCTGCGAGGTCACGAGGGCGAGCAGCGAGAAGAGCCTCTGGAGGGAGCAAGGCTGCACCGATGCGATCAAGACGTAGATTCAGGACGGGTGGTAAGGACGCAAGACGCCTTGGAGGCCGAAATTGGGATTTTGTTGGGGGGGGGGCGGGCGACCAATGAAAACGCCTTACTAGGCGCGTGGACTCTACCGATACTGCCGCTCGCGAGACCTCTTTAGGGGTGCGTCCTGACAGAATGTATCGGAAAGCAACATAAGAAGTATTCATTACAGGCTGGTCGGACGATCCCATCGGCGCGTTATGCTTGAAAACGTGCCAGATGACTGCACCGTAAGCGGATGAGCAAAACGGGCAGTTAGAAAAACGACAAGCGTATCAGTGATTTGTTTTCCATCGTTCGCCGAGTCCAGCAGTTTTTGTGTTTCTCCCTGGCAAGTGATCCTCCAGGAAGCTTCAGAGACATCTGAGGAAACCGTATATTCGAATACCACCCTATAGTCGCCAGTCCCTGCCAGGGCATGCGTCGAGACTTGGCGCGATTGACTGGGCCTGGCGGCGGGTAGGACGAACTAGATGGCGGGTCCGGGAAACCTGAGAACCCCCAAAAAACGTGGCTCGTGTTGCATTTTGCGCGTGGACCTTGTCTGTCCTGTCGCGCCGCGATCCGTGTCGAATCCGCGCCGATCGCGTCGAATCCGTGTCGAATCCGTGTCGAGTCCGTGCCGAAGCCACGTCGAAGCCACGTCGAACCAGCGTCGACACCACCTCGAAGTATCAGAAGAACGAAGTGCATCGAACAGCATACATCCACCCTTGGATCCCTTCCTATCCATACGTACGCGTTTCTCATTTCTAATCGTGTACAGTGAAAACGTATAGTCAGGACGCGTGGTAAGGACGCAAGACCCTTGGAGGCTGAAGTTGGGATCTTGTTGGGCGGCGGCGACCAGTGAAAACGGCAAAGGACGGGCCACAGAGGCAAGGACGCAGGGGCATCCTAGATGAAGGCGCGCGTCCTTACTAGGCGCGTTGACTGTAGGTCCCCATCTCTCAGGGCCCAATCTTTGAACCACCGACCTTGGGAAACCGATCTTCCCCTCCATCGGCCTCCGCCCGCCGGCGGAGCCGCCCCCGCTCTGCTGCGCCTGGCCTCCGCCAGGCTCTCGCCGCCCTCCGCCGAGGAAGAAATGGTGACTCTCTTGCTCTTCGAGGGCGAGGCCGCTTCTGGAACGCCCCCCACTCAGCCAAGCATCCGCGAGGGGCTTGTCTGCTCGAGTCGTCGTCTTCGTCAGTCGTCGTCGCCGTCGTCCCCTTTCCCTGTACCCTCCTCTTCTAACATGTCAGCGAGAGAAAAGTCTAGCAGTGTCGTACTCGAATCGAAGGGAAGCCCCTTCCATGTGATCCCTCCCCCATCAGGGGGGGGTCCTGGGACGAGCGGGGCCCTAGAGGCCTCCAAGAAGGCCCCCGAATAGCCCAAGAGGACCCCAAGACACCACACAACGCCTCCAAGAAAACCCAACAGGTCCCAAGACGGCTCCAAGAGCGTGCCTAGACGGGGGACTCGAATGGAAATTTCGATCCCTCGGCCCCGAGAGGCTCCCAGGAGGCCCCAAGAGAGTCCCGAGAGGCCCCAGAAGCCAACAAGAGGTCCTCAGGAAGCCCGCAGAGGTCCCAAGAGGCTCCCAAGAGGCCCCCATGAGGCTTCCAAGAGGCCTCAGAATTCCTCCCCAGAGGCCCCCGAGAGCCTTCCGAATGGACCCCAAGAAGTCCGCCGATCCAGCGTGTGAACTACAAGGAGCCTCAACAAGAGCTTCAGCTCTGAGCCGAAGCAAGAGCTTCAGCTCTGCTTGGGGGGGGGTCGCCGGGGTGGCTCTGGCAGGGAAGGGGGGGGGGCGGTCCCCCATCTGGCGTTTTCTTAATGATTTGCGCATCCCCAAGATGTTTCGGGGGGTCCCAGGGGCCACCCCCAGGACTCTCCCCTCGAAACCCTCCCGGACCCCACCCGGGGAAGGGAGGAGGGGGGGAGCGGTCCCCCATTTGGCGTTTTCTTAATGATTTGCGCATCCCCACAATATTTCGGGGGGTCCCAGGGACCCCCCTCAGATCTAGCCGCTACCGCTCCCAGGACCCTCCCCTCGGAACCCTCCCCGACCACCCCCCGGGACCGCTCCAGGCACCCCCCCAGAGGGTACGTCAGCTCCAAACAGCGTCCACGACGACTCAAAGAGCGCCCTCCCTCCCAAACAGCGTCCCCGACGACTCCAAGATCACCGAATCTGGAGCCCCCCGGATCGGCGGCACTGGCCAGAGGCCATTACAGTATCCCTCTGGCCCACGTCAGCGTCGTCGTCGTCGCTGCGGACGCCGCCACCGTTGTCGTCGTCGTCTCTTCTTCAGGGTCGGCGGCGCCGGCCGAAAAGCCTTCGCAATATGATCAAGAAACTTATCACTCAAGAAACCTGGGCCAACCTTCCGGAAATCTCTTAAAACAAGCCTGGGCCGATCTCTGATATTGACTCTGGAGGGACGAACGGGCTCCAGAATCCTGGCCAGCTTCCCGACAAGATGGCTAAGAAACACTGGCCCAAATTTCTAAATCAGATGCTCGACCGTATTAACGGTTGGCACACAACGATGCAGGCAGTGGCCGGGAGGGCTCTACAACCCAAGCAGCGACATCGGCAACTCCAGAGGCCTCCTAGATGGGGTCCGCGTAGATGGGGTCGAAGGATCGCGCCGCGTCGCCAATGCCTCGCCGATGTATTGGCGATGCATCGGAGGTGCACTGGCGACATCGGCGATGTATTGGTGACGCGGGCGTGGAGAAAATCGGGCTCCGCATCGGGCCGCATCACCGATGCATCGGCGATACAGCACGAACCTCCGACTCCATCTGCTCGGAGCCCATCTAGGAGGCACAGAACCTCCTCATCCCCCTCCTCCTCCCGAGCCTCTGCCCAACCGGGCACGACCAGCACGCCATGGCCCCCTGTGCGGCCCGATGCCCAGGGTGGGAAGCTCGCCGGGCTGCAGGACTGAATTCTGGGCAGAAGTGCAACGGACAAGCTGGCGGCGCGCACGAGATCAGAGAGAGGGGGCCGCCCAATCATTCAGTCCCTGGGTGTGTGGCTGAAGCGGGGTTCCGCGGTGCAGATTGCTATTGCGTTGCGGTGCGTTCTTGTTGTCGTCGTCCCCCTCGCGACCCGGCCCGCGACCCACCGCGACCCGCCCACGACCCACCCGCGACCCACCCGCGACCCACGCCCGCGCCCGCCCCCTCACTCTTATCCACAACTGCGGGGCGCTACGTAGTTTTTTTGGATTTATTCGGCGATGGCCCAAATTGTCCAGGGAGGGGGCGGGCAGGGAGGTGTCTGCCGATAACCTGACCTTTGCGCTGTGGGCAGACCAACGTATGCCCGCGCGCACCAGTGCTGCGTACCACCTTCGGACCTGCGCAACCGACAAGGTCAGAATCGGCGCGATAGCTCAGGGGAGCACCGCCTCGAAGTGCCGCCCTTCGAACAGCCGCATCGGTCGAGGGAGGGAGAGGGGGAGGATGGGGATGATGAAGAGAGGAAGGGGGACGATAAGAGGAGACGCACACACAAATGGAGCCCTTCAATTTGGGACCCCGTGTTCGCCCCCCCTCCCCCAAAAGATCCAAAACTCTCCCGGGTTATCGCCGGACCCTCAACAGAAGCAGTCTCCACAGGAGTGGTCGCGCGGGAGGGAGGCGGCCTTCTGAGCAAGCGAAGGGGCACTTCTGGCGAGGCGGGGCGCTTTTGACGCAAACCCCCACGGCCTCTGCGAAGCCTTCTTAGGAACCTCTGCGCCCCTCCCAGAAGGCCCATGCTTTCGTAGGAGCCCCCGACGCCTCCTTGGAAAGCCCATCTGGGAAGCCCTCTTAGGAGCCTCCAGGCCCCTCCCGAAAGGGCCGTGCCTTCGTAGAAGCCCCCCAGGCCTCCTTAGAAGCCCCCCTCCCCCCCATGTGGGCAGGTGCAGTTGCCAAAAGGCACCCAGCATACAGTCGTCGCGCTACCACGAGGTGCTACCATCGGCGTGCAGTCACTGTGCTACCACTGCTCTACCGTAGGGCAAGAAGGGGCTTTTCTGCCTACTTCGAGCCTCGGCCAAGATTTCAGGAACAGCCAAGGAGGAGGAGGAGGAGGAGGAGGAGGAGGAGGAGGAGGAGGAGGAGGAGGAGGAGGGGAATAGGTTCCTCAACCAAGATTTCAGGAACAGCCCGAGAGCCGGAGCCCCTCCTGCGCTTAGAGTGGTCCTGATATCCGCCGACCCCTTGGGGTTCATCGGCGTGTGAGATGCTTCCTCGTCCACAAAAAAACCCTCCCCTGGGAGCCCCGTCTGGTCGATTTGGAGGGGGGGGGCCTGTCAGGGCCGGCCAGGGGGGGGGGTCTACCCGGGCCGGCCGTGGGGGGCACTTTGCTCCAGAAATTCTGCTGGTGGCATCGAGGGCTTCAAAACGTGCCACGAGGGGCCCAAGAAACCTCCAAGACGGTCCAAGAGGGTCCCGAGTCGCCGAACCATCGTCCGAAGACGCCCAAGATGGCCTCCAGACGGCCCAAGATACGTCCAACGCCCCAAGAGGCTTTGAAGAGGCCTCCCAAGAGACCAAAATCGTTGATTCCGATATTTTTATTTTAAACAGTTTTTGGCTTTCTCATGCTTCTGACGCTCGAAGACGGCCCGAGAGGCCCCCAAAACCGCCCCAAGACGGCCCAAGAGGCCCTAAGACGGCCCTAAGACGGCCCAAGAAGACCCCAAGATGGCCCAAGAGGGCCTCGGGACAGCCGAAGAGGGCCCCAAGAGCTCCCCAAGAGGGGCCCAAGAAGGGGGACCACGAACCGAAAATTCCAGCTTTCCGTCCCAAGAGGTCCCCGGGAGGCCCCAAGAGGCCCCCGCTCAAGAGGCCCTCAAGAGACCCCAAAGATGCCCCAAAAGACCCCCAAGAGACCCCCAAGAGGCCTCCAAGAGACCCCTCAGAGGCCCCAAAACAGCCTCCCAGAGGCCTCCAAACTGCCTCGGGCAGGCCCCCGAAAAGCTCCTCACGGGATCCCAACGAATATCCAAGAGGCATCTGAACCACAACCCAGGCAGGGTGGAGGGATGGGCCGAAGGCCACTAGATATAAACACAAGCATAAGCCACGCAGCATCCAGGAGCCACAACAGCGACTCTCCCCCAAGGGGTCGGCGGTGCAGCGTAAGCCAAATAATCAGCCTCTTCACTGTGCGCAACAGCATCAGAAAAACCACACGACCCGACCAAGCGTGACAACCTCGAACATCTTCGCACATCAACAGGCAACTTCATGAATTGTTCGGCAAGCGTGGATCATGGGGACATCGCATGCCGTTTACTTAGTCTCGGTGGGGCCAGGACTGCACGACAAGTTCTGCCTGCGGGGTGATGTGAAACACTTGGTAGCAACCTTACGCGTTTGGGACCACCGACGTTACGAGGTGGCTTGGCTTTCGCGGGCCGCCGATCCGACAACCACAACACGGAGAGCGGGGCCCTCACGCGTGACCTTCTGCAGGCAGCCTGCGGGCGAGTACCATCGCTTCGAAGACTGCAGGTCAGCGGTCAGCCAGCCTCCCACGGTGGCGTCGCATCGCGATAAGATCGGCGTTGGATTCTGAAACCGAGTGTCGACCTTAAAAGATCGCGGCTTGGCGACTGCGCAGGTTGTTCGATGCCGGCCGGCTCAAGGAAACCGGCGGCGTTCGACCTCGAGCGCCTGCGTTGGGGAAGCCACCGCGTCAGCGCGGTGCGAACCCACCATTGAGCAGGCTGGGGAGGCGGCAGTGGGAAGTTCTGGGGGGGGGGTCGGGTGGTTTCCGAAGGCCCTGTGCGGTTCCCGCGACATGGCTTGCGAACGAACGAACGACCTGAGCGGGGGCGGGGGTTTTCGGGTAATGACTCGGCACCTCGGTGGCCGTTCGATCTGGGACCCCCCGGGACGCCCACGGTGAGACGCAACCGCTGGAAGGCATCCCGAGGCTGGAAAACCGCGGGGAACCTACGAACGCATCAGAAAAAACCTCTAACGTACGCACGCGCACTAGCGCGAGACCGATGTCGTGATAAGATGACCTGAAAATACGTTCCAAGATTTCCAGAGCATCTAGCGGCGCAGCCAGTGCGGAACACTGGGAAACCTGAGAGATCCTGGGAACCTGGGAAATCCTGGAACAAACCATTATCATCACCTCTTGCCCCTGTGGTGCATGCCGAATGTTTGTTTTTCGGCCTTCGGCGCTCCACGCAACTTCTGTAGGCGGGGGAGAACGCGCGAGCGCGCGCCGGCGGCCTCGGCCCACGCCTCCTCCGAGCCCAGCTCCGCCGCCCAGCCTCGCGGGCGCGGGCTCCGCAAGCGTTGGGGGGGGCACCCAAAGAGACCCCCCCCAGAGTGAAGGGGCCCAGGGACACGTACAAACAAAGAGGCACAAATCCCAGGATTCCCCACCGTTTTCCCACATGTTCTGGATGTCCGTCTTCCCCCCCCATCTGCCATAGCTTCTCATGGCTCCCTTGGAAATCGACGACTCTTTGTGTCTGTGCCTGCCCCTTCCACCCGACAGACGCCCGACGCCGCGACTCTCCGGGGGCCTGGCCCCCCAGGCTGCAGCGGTGAGCTCGGCTCGCGCCCTCGACGGCAGCATGGGGGGCCAGAAGGCGCCGCGGGCGCGGGCCGCTGCTCAGCCTCCCCGCATCCCTGAGGGTTAGGTCGGGCATGTCCCTCTACAGGTGAATTTTGGACGAAAATTCCACAACTATTCCAAACATACTTCTGTATAATTAAAAAGTAATTGAAACATCGTCCCAGACTATTTTTCATGACTACTTTTCGAACATTCCTTTTGCCGAGGGACAGGCCCGACTGAACCCTTGGGGCACGTGCGGCGGGTTCGTGCCGCGCCGACTTCGGCGCTGGCTCCTGGCACCGCGGGGATCGTTCGGCCTCGACCGATCGGCCGTCTCCGAGGCGTCGGGCCGTTCAGCATCGACCGCCTCCGGGTCGCCGGCGGCGTGCGCGCGGGGAGAGCAAGCGACCACAACCACATCGAGGACGCACTCTGGCAGACGTGTTGCGCATATGCAAAAACTGTCGGAGCACCCGAGCCAGCTCGCTCAAATACTGCTTATGCCGCTTTCTTTTCATAATACTAGAAAGCAAACGGAAACAAAAAAAAAACTGAAACGATACATGTTTGCTATCAATAATTTCATCAAAAACACTGTTGCTCGATGTATGGTTGCTTTACCGCTGCTAAACTAAAAACTAATTGAGATCTCTCCCTGCATTGCACACATAACTCACCATCAATACATGTTTAAAGAAGACGGACCACTTCGCGCACAGTCTCCAGAAGAACGTCTCTGAATTGAAACGCCCGCGAACGCGGGGGCGACACCCCCTTATTGCGATAGACTGGAAATAAACACGAATCCGATAGAGTGCCCTCAGGGCTACACCGAGGCGCACATTCGAGATAAGAGCGCAAGACGCTGCTAACCTATTCCAAAACATCTGGTAACATTAAACTAATTATTGAGTGCCATCGTTGTGCTCTAACTTACTGCAAAAGTGGTTTATATGCTACTTGACACTTGCGGGATCAACTATACAAACAGGGGAGTACAAACTTGAGAACAGCAACGCACGAATTCTTAATAACAGTGCGCACACTTTAGAACATGAGCGCAAACTTCAGGATAACAATGCACACATTGACAAGTTATAATCTACGGAAAAAAGCGCACACTTGAAGACAATAGTGTACATTTCGAAACACTACACAACCTCTTAGAACACAAGTAATGAACAATTGAAACACCAGGTAGAGCAACAATACGCAAAGTTTAGACCATACATGTACACTTTAGGCAGCCAGTTCACAAATCCAACCAACAGAACAAAACAGACGGTATCAACGCACAATTAAAACCAACAAGACACAACTTGAACAACACTACGAATATGCAGGCAACAATTGACAACCTGCTAGAACATAATGTA